ATTATTTACCATTCTCATATATTTACATAAAATATATTTTTATTAATAAATAAATTAATTAATAAATAAATAAATTAATAAATGGAAAATTTGTTTTCTTATAGCGTTCTTTTAAAAAAAAAAAAATAAATAAATAATTTTCTCGATACGGTGGTATTTAAAATAAAATTGATGTTTAGAGTTAATAAATAAAATAATTAACTAATCAAATATCATTTATTTATTTAAAAATGTAGTTATTAAAATAATAATAATAATAATAATAATAATAATAATAATAATAATAATATTAATATGTGTATATTATAAATGGAAAAATAAAAATTTTACGAGTGAGAGAAATAAATTAAAATCTCACATTTTAATTCAATTAATTAATTAATTATTGTTATTATTATTATTATTATTATACTTGAGAAAACTTTTTACTTTTATTTTTATATTAAAACGTTAATAATTATTATTATTATTATCCATTCTTCGTTATTTTTTTTTCTATATATATATAAATATATATTATTATATGTATTTTCATTGTAATGTTGTTATATATATATATATATTTATTACAAAACTTTTCTTTATTTTTTAATAAAAATTCTCAATTAAATATTCTAAAACTATTAAAATAAATATATTATTATTATTAATTATTTATTCTTCCATAATTTATACATAATAATAATAATAATAATTTTTTTTTTGTTCTTCGGTTATAATCGATATTGTTGTTATTGAAAAAAAAAAAAAAAAATTTAACATGTTTGTTTGTTTCTTCTTTTCTCATTTTTTCTTTTTGTTTATAAATATATATTTATATTCTGATCGAGTCGTTTATATTTTTATTATATATATATATATATTTCAATATCGAATTATATTTTCCTATATATATATTTATATTTTATATTTTAATATAAGACTACTTAGTAGTAGTAGTAATGTGTACTAATGCAAAAAAAAAAATAATGATAACTATATTATACATTGATAAGAATTTTAATTGATAATTATTTATTTATTTTTTTTGCTAACGTAAATTTTTTATTCGTAACGATAGTGTTATGTGTGATACTTGGCAATTTAAAAATTTTTTTTTCTCTCCTGATAAGAATGATAAAATGGTAATCAAGGATAAGAAAACAAAAGGAAATTAAAATAAATTTTCTTGCTTTTTTTTTTTTTTTTTGATTTTGTCGCTATTTTTATACTGAAAAAAAAAAAAAAAATATTTACAAATCGATAATCAATCAATACATCATCACTTTATCATTTTTTTTACTCCACATCCTCCTCCTCCTCCTACCTCCTAGCCCCCCATAAAAAAAAAAAAAAAAACAATGCCTTAATAAAATTTATTATTATTGAAATAGATGCACAAAAAACCTAAAAAAATTTATTAATTTTTTTTCTCATGCCATTTTGACCTCTATTGAACATAATTTATTAATAAATAATTTTTTAATTATTATTATTATTATTATTTATAATATTTTAAATGTATCACCAATTTATAGATAGATACGACCAATGACTACCTAATAATAAATAGCTTTATCAAATATTTATTTATATTATTATCATTATTATTATTTCTTTTTTTAAACTTAAAACTTTTAATAATAATAATAATAATAATAAATCCGACTTTTCATCACTTTTGGATTTATTTGATTGCACAAATTTCAATGAAATTTTTCTAATAATAATAATAATAATAATAATAATAAATTCAAATCTTTTTAACCATTTTTGTTCGGTTAAAAAAAAAAATTTTTTTGTAAGAATAACCTTTCGAGTTTTCATTTTTTTTTCTTTTTTTGTTTTTGACAAGTATAAAAAATAGTGTGACAAAATGAAAAAAAATATTAATTATTATTATTATTATAGTAATAACAGTCTTTTGCATCATCATACGTTACTATCGACCATTAATAACGTAAAATTATTTTTTTTTTTTTTTGTCGGATTCTAATGGCTTTGATTCACGCGCACTTAAATTTCTTTAATTAAATTAGTTCGAATATTGCCTAAAAAAAAATTTTATGACGTTTTCTTTTTTCTTTTTTTATTGTAATAAAAAACTGTTTCACAGTTCATCGTGATCTGCATCCTGAAATAAAAAATTTGAA